TGTGAACTAATATAAATTCAAAGTAAACATCATTACATAAAAGGGTGCGGTCTTTTTTTTCAATAGTTTTATTCATTTCAAACGGGCAGCATCCGGCCCGCGGGCCGTAGTTTGCCCACGGCTGATCCAGATGCCAGTAATTCTACCAAAAGGCACATCCTTCTCCTCCGTTTTCCTGTGAGCAGGGGAATGTGAGCGTCTGTGGGGATGAGGCCTGGCAGCTTCCGAGGTTCTGTGAGGAGAGCACGTGTGGGCAGGGCGGGGCTCCACCCCCCCACCTTCCCCTCCATCCCAGGCTGAAACGCTTCTGAGGTCAAGATCACTGATGGTTGGAACTGCCAGGTACAAACTGTCATGGGTGCTGTACCACCCAGTCTCCCTTCAGGACTGAAGGACTCCCCTGCCCTCCCCCCCACCTCCCTCCTGCTGCCAGCTTAAGAGAGTTTCTTGCCCAAGTTCACACCTTCCAGGTCAGCCAGCAACCAGTGACTGATCAATGCAGGGTAAAAACTTGCTCCCTCGGCCCAACTCAAACAACTCTGGAGGGCCACCCCAGGTTCAGAGCTCCTTGCACTGAAACCTGACTTCTCCTGCCTGGTCCTACTTCCTTCCCGCCCCCCACAGGTGTGGGTTCCAAGCACAGTCAGTCCCGATCAATAAACACCCTGCAAGTCAGAGTGTGTTTCCCAGAGAAGCCACGTGCACCAGCAGCTGGGCGGTCTGAAAGCATAGATGCGACAATGGGATTAGGGAGCTGAGTGACTCCAGATGACAATGAGGGCCCCGCCCACCGCAGACAGGGAAGCACTTAGACCAGTGGTTCTCAACCTTCCTAATGCCGCGACCCTTTAATACAGTTCCTCATGTTGTGGTGAGCCCCCAACCATAAGATTATTTTCGTTGCTACTTCATAACTGTAATTTTACTACTGTTATGAATTGTCATGTAAATATCTGATATGCAGGATGTATTTTCATTGTTACAAATTGAACATAATTAAAGCTTAGTGATTAATCACAAAAACAATATGTAATTATATGGGTTGTTCGACCCCTAAAGGGGTCTCGACCCACAGGTTGGCGACTCACAGGTTGAGAACCGCTTAGAGGACTCAGTTTTTCTCCAGTAGTAAAATGGAATGATTAGGCACCCACATAACCCATGTGGGTGTCCATTGCCCCATTTTGACAGAATATAGACAAATGCAGCAGCCACAGCCTGAGAAGTGCATGGCAACCAGGAGCTTAAACTCCGCAGGGATGGCAGCCTAGGTCCCCACCACATGTGCCACCTAGGTCATCAGAGGAATCAGGATGACAGGAGAGGAGGGAAATAACAGCGATATCAGCTCTGCCTCGAGGTGAGCAGCAGCGCAGTGGGCGCTCTAGTGTGTTCCTCTCCTCTTTCTCTGGTAGGTTTCCTGCAGGAAAGGACACTCCGGGGTCCTGAAGGTGCTGCTCTCCAAACTGAAAAGCGTAGGGGTGCGCGGTTGCAAATGCTAGTGCACCGCCTAGTCCCCCTTCAGGGCTCACACACCGATTCCCCAGCTGCGGGGATGGTCATAGGTAGGTTGACAGATCTCAGCTGCCAGCCTCTCAAGGAATTGTCCTTGGCAGAGAGCCACCTTACCCAAGGCAGTGACTGGTCCATGCAGACATACAAAAGCTTGGCCTCTCTACTCAGTAACAACCCTAAATAGCCATCCGGCTTCAGAGGTCCCTTGGGGCCTGTCAGAGCCCATGACTGCACCCCTGCAACTGCTCCCTCCCCCACAGGGGCTGATCCTGACAACACCCCCTAAGAAGTCCCTGCACACTTCAGGGAAAGCTCTGCCAATCTGCGCAACTAACAGAAACTCAAACCCAAGGAACGGCTGTTAACTTGTGGATGTGGCTTTTTGTTGTATCTAATCCCAGAAACCCTGGATGAGTGTGGCACATCCAGCTTGCTCTTGGCCCACATGGTCAGCTTAAACCCCAGGGAGGCAATGGGTTCCTTATCCGGTCAGGCCAGAGAGACTCCTTAAAGAGAAGAGTGATTGCACAGCCTCCTCCACAGCTTTCCCAGAGGCCCCATCTGGATTCAGCTTCTGCCTACCATCCATCATGATAAAGCACATTGTGTTCACAGCCCTTTAACAGTGCAGAATGGCTATTTACGACTTCAGGCTGCCAGCATAGTTCCCTCCCGGGGCCTTCTATGTTCCTCTGGGTCCCCAAGGACTTTCTGCCTTTAAGGAGCCTCGTGGCTCATCCTTTCGGAGAAGTGCCAGCTGCTTTGCTTAGAGGTTCTATCACTAAAGCAGAGTTGGGGAAAGATGGGGGAAATGAAACATGAGTTCTTTCGGAACCTTAGAGAGGTGACATGACTTTCCCAAGTTCAAGTCAGCAGCAGGGGTGAGCCTAGAATATAGCTCTGTATTCCTTTTACTCTGTCATACCACCTCTCCCTAACCCCTAGGGTTTGCTCAGCTAAAATCTAGACTGAGAGGGATCTCATCTATGGGACATGAGATCTGTCCCACAGATCTCAGAGAGACGGAGGGATGTAAAACACCAGACATTGGGAGGCAAGAGAGATGTGGGACTGAAAATAGGATTGATGGGAAAACTGTAAACATAGTATTTGGTCCCTGTCAGCCCCCTCCTCTCCCCTCACTCTCATTGTCTGTAGTGATGTGCAGCCATTTATCTGGTTAAAAATGTTTTAAATTTTGCTCGGCTGGCATGGCTCAGTGGTTGAGCGTCAATCTATGAACCAGGAGGTCACGGTTCAGTTCCCAGTCAGGGTACATGCCCAGGTTGCAGGCTTGATCCCCAGTAGGGGACATGCAGGAAGCAGCCCATCAATGATTCTCTCTCATCATTGTTTCTCTCTCCCTCCCCCTTCCTCTCTAAAATCAATAAAAATATATTTTAAAATGTCTTAAATTTTTACATGTTGTATTTTTATGCTTTAATCTTAAACCCAGAACCTTTTTTGGAGGGGCAGAGGCAGGTGGGCCTGGGAAGTGTTGCTGGGTAGGAAGAATTTATACTTCTATTTTCATTTTTTAAAATATATTTTATTGATTTTTTACAGAGAGGAAGGGAGAGAGATAGAGAGTTAGAAACATCGATGAGAGTGAAGCATCGATCAGCTGCCTCCTGCACATCTCCCACTGGGGATATGCCCGCAACCAAGGTACATGCCCTTGACCGGATCCGAACCCGGGACCCTTCAGTCCGCAGGCCGACGCTCTGTCCACTTAGCCAAACCGGTTTCGGCAATATACTTCTATTTTTTAAACACAAGAATCATTCCACTCAGTTGGAGTTCAAATAGACAAACTGTTCCAAAATTTCACCTAGGGATTCTCATCAACTTTCCAGTGGTGAGTATCAGTGGACATTGAGAATTCAGACCTGTATAGTTGGGAGTTTCTTCTATTACTGGGCAATAGAAACACCAGACAATAAGCCAAAAATCATTCCATTGAAGTTCTCCAGTCATTTAAAAAAAAAAAATGAAGACCTCCTACAATAATATGACATGCGTATCTGAATCCCTGTAATACAGAAGTTAGCTTGTGGCAGTGGCAAAATGGTACACTTAAAAAAAAATCCCGTTAAGAGACCAATGTTTGAACAAGAATGTCTATTTTTTAATTTTTTTAATGTTCTTTATTGATTTTAGAGATTTAAGAAGAGGAAGGGAGAGAAACAATGATGAGAGAACGTATGAGAACATCAACGGGCTGCCTCCTGCACGCCCCCTACTGGGTATCTGGCCCACAACCCGGGAATGTGCCCTGACGGGGAATCCAACTGTGTCCTCTTGGCACATGGGACCATGCGCAACCGAGACACACGGGCCAGGACTGAACAAGAATGTTGTAGGCTAGCAATCAGACTGCTCCTCCCCCGTCTATGAGGGGACACTGACAACTCTGCACTTCTGTGAGGCTGCTGGATTTGGTGGAATTTGAAATGTGCCGAGTTTTGTGGACATGTAGGCAATACAAAAACAGAGACAGATGTCACTCTTCCAGGACTTTCTAGAGGTAAGCTAGGTGGCATTCAGGGAGAAAGTGTCTCATTTGGGTGCTGCATGGGTTCCATCTGGGAAGAAAGAGCTGGATCCAAAGTCAGGGTTAATGGTGATTTGGTCCATGAGTCCTGAAAGAAAAGGAAACCTCCACAAAACAAAAACGAGAAAAGGAAATCTCCACTAGATTGCAACACTAGGGAATGATGGACAGCAATTGCTACCAAATGTGTTCTTTTTTTTTTCCTGGTTATCCATCCAACCTAAGCTTCTCCTTAGGCCCCAAGTAGTAAAAGTACCACCAAACACCTGGTCACTCCAAAAATGTAGGAATCATTGCTGAGTCCTCTCTCAACCTCATTATCGGTTACTCATTCCCTCCGCCTACGAAACATCCGAACGGTCCATTTCTCTCCACCTTCACTACTCTCATCCCAGCCACAGCAACCTTCCTCTTTCCTTGACTGCTTGCTCTGCTCACTGATAGCCTTTCATTCCTGCCCCTCCCCCGACAGTCTACCCTGTGCACAGAGTAAGATCTCCCTCTTGCTGAAACCCCTCCAGCTGCACCTCGAATGCAATCCAGACTCCAGCACGGCCCCGGCCACCGGCCCGGCGCCCGAGGACAGCGCCCCGGGCGCGCACCAGCCTGTCTGCCGAGCGGTCGGGGCCTCCGGACTCCGCGGTCTCAATGCAACCCCCGTGTCCCCTCATCTGACCGACCCCGACTTCGGTCACAGACCAACACCTGGAATCATCTTTAAAGACGAGGTGTTAACGTGTGGCTGTCTCTTTCCCAGCAGGACGTCAGCTTCGAAAGGGAGGCGATCTGGTCTCCCAGGTGCACGCCGGCCCGGGCGCACGGTAGGTGGGGATGGTTCTGTTGGACCCGGGGCAGCCCGACCTGGCTGTGCGGGCCTCGCCCCGCGTCTCAGGCTGCGCGGGAGGGCATCTCGTAACCAGAGGTCACTTACGCCGAGGGCATGTGACTGTTCCGGCAAGAAAGCGTGGCCTGCGCGGGGCAGAGCGCAGCAGCCCGGGCGCCCCAGGCCGGAGGATCATTTTCCAACAGGGTGACACTGTTTTTCACACCAAATTTCATATATAGATTGCCACGAGTTTTACTCAAAAGTCTCAGCTCATTTGTTTTTCTAATAGAATCTTCTCAGTATAGAATAATTACTGATCCTCAATGCTGAATATTAAATTCAACCCACAATGAAAAATGGGTGGATTATGGGTGTACGTTGTTGTTTTTGCTAAAAGGAAATATAATTAGCAAATATAAAGGAAGCAGGGTGAGGGGAGACAGTCCCCCGAGTGAGGGGCCGCGGGGGAACAAGCGGCGTTCTGGTTTTTTAAAAAAAGTCCAATTTGGAAACGGGAAGAAAGCGATTTGGAGGAAACGGAGGCACCGGCGAAGGAATTCTAAAGCTGCGGGGAGGCTGGGCCGGAGAGGCTGCCTGTGGCGAGGAGG